CTGCAAGGCCGAGGAGGAGCCGTGACAATGTCAACAAAGCTCGGTAAAACTTAGATTACGACGCACACGGTTAAGCGGGCGGACAAGAGGGCACTTCAACGTGACAAATTAAACTCCCCTGCACAATTATTTCCTAGGTTCTTGATTACTGGTTAAGCTGACACTTTCCAAAGGTTGCTCAGCCCTGCAGCGCTGCACAACTCAAAGGCTCTGAGAGCATTTACAGCCAAACGTGCCCTATGGTTTCATTTGTGCACATGTGCGTGAACATCTATGTCCAACACACATTTGCGTACCCTTCCCCCATGCAGATGGCCCGTTCCGTGCAGCTTATACCGCGTGCGGTGAAGATGTCTTCCTTGCCGCGGGTGAGAGTGAAATGTGTCAGCCTGTGCAGCTGATAACGCCGCCTCCGTCACACTCAGGGCCAAAGAGTGTTTGCCGGGGAGCCAAAGCGCGTGATGGGTTTTGTGACGCGGCAACGCGGCGGCGTTCAATTTCCAAATTTTGCCTCGTCCCTTGAACTATGTCACGTAATTTGTTGCGTGCGACGCCAAATCTTTCCATTTTTTTCTCACGCGGAGTTCACAGCGATTCCTCCCAAGCGTCTGGCCCACCAGTGGTCACTTACTTTGAGTTTCATCTCACTGGAAATTTTCTTTTGTGGTTTATTTATCACTGTTGTTAAGCAAATAGGATTTGCATATTTACATATTTGTTTGTACATAAGGTTATTTTACACTAGATTCTACAATGGTAAGTGCTTCATATTTCCTTAGGCCATTGCTGTCCAGGAGTCTCTTTTATAGGAACAGGCACTCACAGAATAAAAAAGCACCTCCTTGAGAGTCTTTTATCAGCTTCCAACATCTGGCCGAGGCTGATAGGTCCTTGGAGTAGCTCTCCAAATATTGTTTGAGATGCATAATGCTTCCCACAATAATTATTCAACCCCTTTCAATAAGTGTCTTTCCCATTTCTATGATTACTGAATTTAGTTTCTCAGCAGGGTCGTAATAATGTGATACAGTGTAGTAAATGAGAAGAAAAATACAATTTAAAAGAGTCAAGTCACATGTTTGAGCAAAGAACCTGACTGTGTTAACTGTTTAAACGTTTGACATGAAAAGCAATTTCCTTTTGGGAGGTAATCTCGAGGCGCCTCATGAACAATTTCATTTGAGGGCTAGAATGCAAATATTTAACGATTTTTGATTCCTCTTGTTGCATCTAAAGTTTCCTTTGTAGTCATTATGACTATCTGGTATTTTTAAAACACCATGTATTTGTAATGATTCATAATTTTAAAAAAGGAGGGTTACATTTCCAAGCTTTGCAAAGAAAACCGACAAGAAAATAAATCAAATTGGGCCTCTAACAGCATCCTTGGAATGAAAACACTGAATTCTGTGTGTTCTGAATCTTTTGATACGAATAGCTGCCCTTCTTCCCAAATAATTCATGTAGACTTGTTTTCAGAAAAATGTCTCTGTCGTAGTCAGACCTTTCTGCTCCTGTACAAACTTTAATTTAATTTAATTTAATTAAAACGTGGAGATGAATGCTGTATCACCGTCCGAAAGTGTGCAAGTTTCCGTCTACTTCAAGATTCCCTTTGTCCTTTTAGGGTTTGGCAGAAGAAGGAGCTAGATGCTTTCATGCATAAGCTTCTAAGCAAGGGGGTGCCGGTCGGATTGTATCCAAATTGGATTTCTCCAGCTGAGTCCTGAAAACTCCTGTAAACTCTTTTGGTATTCAGTTTACAACGAGAACAAGACTGTCGGTTGCGTTGAAGGCCAGTGGGAAAGGACGGCCCGGTGACAGAAGTGTCACGGGCGATCATAGCGATTAGAACCGTGCCAGGGATTGTAGGTCATTGAGTTTCCTGCTTCGAGTCATAATCTTTCAAGAGAGCATCTAAGAATCTATTTACCCCCCCCCCCCCATCTCACCCCTAATGCGCCGTTTTAATTGCAGGAAAATGAGCCTTGTTAAAGCTAGTCATCACTCTAGATTAAAAACGTATGCTCTTGCTGCACTGCACCACATTAGATTAAAGCTCTGAGGTAATCTGCAGCTGATATAGGAATTCATCCCAACAGCTGGTTCTGTACTTGAGCCTCTGAGCATATGTGTGATACTGAGACACTCTTGTTTCCCAGCATAGAAAGGACGGACCTTTTTATTAGCCTCATTTTTTAGTCACAGGTTGTTCTTCTCACAAAATGTTATGCATTCTTGTGATCATAAAATAATAATTCCATAACACAATGCAATGACCTAACAATAAAAGGTGAAGATTGGGATGTTGTTATCTAATCTAGGCTCACTTTATTGTGAACGCCAGTTGCAGCCACAGTCTCCTCTATAATAGTGCTATCTGCTGTTGTTGTTTTTTTAATTTATAGGTTTTATTTTTGTCCTTTTTCCTCAATTTTAGAGGAAAAAATCCCCATGCGGTGCAGACCCTGCCGTGGTACCTACTTGGGAGAAAACACCGATACGCATTGGAGCCCCTCTGTTTCGTTTCACCTTACAGCGCGGAGGGTGCAGCACAGGCAGAGGTTCAAAGAATCTCCCACAGATGTTGATCCAACTGCACACAGCTGTCCTGACCAACCAGTAGGAGTCACCAATGCGGCTAAAAGGAACTTCAGCTTCTGGGTTCCCACTCTAGTTGCATTTGAGCAACAACATTGGCTTTTCCGTTCTTCCGATGTCACAACACTTTGCTGTTCAATCGGTACTCGAGGAAAGAAATTTACTTTTCATGAAGAACCATTCTACTTTTCCGTGGTTCTGTTTGAATGAGGAACTATACAGCTCTTTCATTGAAGAAATTAGTCAAAAGTAGGTCTACTACACAATACACAATGTATTTATTTAAATACCAGATACTTACACCTCCTTAGGCAACAAAGGATTCTTAGTTTCCATTTATTTCCCTTCATTTGACAGTCTTATAGATTGAGACTGGAAACATGAGGTAATTGCATTTATGTGCCCTGCATGCTCACAGTCGGACATACTTCTATATGTAACATTGCTTCATTCTCAACGCCACCCCCATTACTTCATTTTTCAATCAGTAAGAAAGGACCAGTTTAATTTTCAACTAAATCGTCCCAACCAGCACAGTCTCAAATCTCAATACCAATTTCTATATTATAAATATAAAGTATCAGCACAAGCCGTAAAGTTTTGTCATTTTGCTGAGTAGTATGACTACTTGTGTTTTTATCGCTAGACCACAAGAAGACTGTTTGTGGTAAATCGTGATTTTGTGCTCACAAGAAAACGCAAGCTTGTTATGTCAAGATGACAACATGATTATACAGTAATCATGAGCAAAACAACCCTAAAGATAATCACACCACTGGCTGCTGATTGAGACAATAGTTGTTTCTAATGAAAGTTTTTTGTTTTGAACTTGTTTGCTTGTGCAACCGTAAAGATGAAAATATAAAGATTTCTCCCTGTTGTATTAGAACAAGATGGCAGGGAACAAATGGATTATTTTGGCTTGTTGAGCCTTGCAGTGCTCAGAACTGTGGCCCGTGAATTATCATCATCATGAGATAAAAGGCAACATCTTTTCATCTATTTTTCAGTCTTTCTCACTTTGCCTGTGAGAGTAACACTACTGGGAGAGTTTTCCAATCCAGAAAGGTATAACAGGAAAGTATTTGTTTTCATGTGGTTCATATCTAAGAATTTCCATATAAAATTGAATTTCTTGCAGAGGTTGAGCTTCGAGGATAATGCAGCATGGCCAAAATGCCCTAATTGCAAATACAGCCGCGCAATCATCACCATTTAATTTCAATTACATCCAGGCCTTATCTCAAATGCTCCGGCTCCCCTGGTAGGGATTTTTTTTTTTTCTTTTCTGGTTTTGTTTGAAAGGCTGCATGATTAACTCAAGTCACAGTGAGCACCGGCATGCACTGTAAATGACCAATTAAACAGCTTCTTTGGTATTCTGTAAACTAAACAGCCTGTTTAGAGACCAACATCACAGGTGGGCTTTTATTCTTCAACTAAGAGCAACCTTGAACATCTCGGAGCAAGGTATAACGTGTTATGAAAATGATCCAACTCACCATCCTAATCTCTCGACTCTCAGGTAGTTTATGTTCCTTTGAAGACAACATGTGGATTTATACCCCCTGTACTCGGTAAATCACCTCTCTTCTGTAGTTTCTGTACAGATATATATTTTTTAAAGTTGAGAACCTGACCCAGTCTGTCATCTGTTAAAAGACACTGCCGTATCAGTGGCTGAAGCCTAAGCCATTTCCGATGCAATTAAAAAACTCCATTTTCAAAGCGTTTTCCCAAGAGCGATAAATGGGCAAGCGATCCCTCGATTGTTCTCCCTGAGGCGGAATGGCGGGAATGATAGACGTTTAATCGTCGACGGGCAAAATCGAGAAGTAAATAAAATAGGGTGGATAGATATCGACTAGTTTGCCATGTAAGAGACCTGGACAAGAGGCTGAACGTGTTGCCGGCGAGACAAAAAAAACAACAACTAAACGTGGAGAGCCGGAATGTTTTCAGGACCACGGACAGTTCTGCACTTCTCCTCTCCGCTTAGTGCCTTACCTCTTTCTAACCCTAAAACAGCTGCAAAACCCACAAAGTGTATCGTTGTGTAACCCCCCCTCCACCCCCTTACACACACACCCCCTCCTCTCTGGGGACGGACGCCGGGCCATAGTCGGGATCATCGTCCCCCGGAGACTGCAGCGTTTCTCTCGGTCCGGCCGCCGGAGGGCTGCGGGAGCGCTGGGAGGTTGACCCCCTCTAAATTTAACGTCAGATCAAGTTTTCACGAACACTGGACCGCCGCGAAGGGTCCAATCGGAGTACAGATTCCCCCCCCCCTCATCCTCACGCACCAGCCCTCCCCTTTTCTCAACCTCCCGTCTCTCTCTCTCTCTCTCTCTCTCTCTCTCTCTCTCTCTCTCTCTCTCTCTCTCTCTCTCTCTCTGAGTTGCAAAAAAAAAAAAAAAAAGCTCTGCAGCTGGACTGCACCTCGATGAACCTAATTGGTACACTGTGAGCGACCACCATCCCTCCACCGGATTTCCCCCGCGCCCGACTTCCACCCAGAACCTATGCATCTGCTCAGACGGACCCTTTTGAGGAGTTGAACAGATCGGTTCGGAGAAAATGGCACAACGAGTGGTTTTGTTGCTCCTGTGGCTCTGTGACGGATCATTCGCAGGTTTCCCCAATCAGATCAATATCGGTAAGTGTCTTTGTGTGTGTTCAAAAAATAAAAATAGGCTGCGGACTGTGATTTGTATGGACAAAGGTTGCAGTTTTATTGGGGGGGGGGAGATGTGCACGGAGCGCGCAGCTCTGCGCAAGGATAGATAGGAACTTGATAATACGCATGCCGCGATCTGACAACGCGCTAAATCCGGTAAACTGTAAGATTAAAGCCTCCCGCGTTGTTGTATGTGTGTGTGTGCCAGATATAGTGGTGGTAATAACGATAAGGAGGAGGACGGGAGACGATTAGTTGCCCCGCTCGATGTGGAGACTTTCAGACAGGCGCACTGGTCAAAAAAAAAAAAAAGCCAGCTAGTTATTCTTTCAAATACCAGTCAACATCCTTCTTTTCCCCAATGAAATGAGGTGTTTCACTTGACGATGGCACAGATTGTCTGATCTTGGTTTTCATCTTCTGAATGAAGGGGGGCTGTTCATGCGTTCCACGGTGCAGGAGCACAGCGCGTTCAGGTTCGCCGTCCAACTCTACAACACCAACCAAAACACCACGGAGAAGCCTTTCCACCTCAACTACAACGTCGACAACTTGGAGTCCTCCAACAGCTTTTCAGTCACCCATGCGTGTAAGTGTACTTCTATTTCAGTCATGTCCAGCCCCCCCCCCCCCCCCAGACCCCCTCACTTATGTCTACAGCGTGGCGCGCAGAATCATTTATGTCTTAACTCATCCATATGGAGCTTATAGAGGCTCTGATCTCAATCCAGGGAAAGCACTCAAGTTTGCCTCATTTCACTTTCTCTCAAAAAATCCCAGTGGGAATTTACAAATACAGATTTGTCAAATGGACAGAGTGTTCCCTGTCACATGTATCCTTGGTTTTGCTTTCATCATAAAATGAAGACATCTTTCTTCCTTAAATGTATGGTTACTTTTTAAACATTTGGACCGTTTGTAGACAGAATATTTGGTTGGAAACCAGATTCACCGTGTTTGTGGCTCCCTGAGTTTTCCAGAATTGATTAAAAATACATGAATTGCACATTGTAAAATAAGTACCATCAACATATACACGCTGGGCGTGAGAATGCAGCCAATTACACAAACCCTGTGTCAAGGATTCAGAGCTGGAGGAGTTATTGCGCAAATGGAGCAAAGTTGGATGTTTATTTCATATTGCATATGTTTTATGAATATCTTTATTTTTCCAATAATCCACTATTCAAAGGAAATGACATAAACAAGTAAAGTATCCATACAGTCCATAACACCTGATGCTTTTATATGTGCCCCCGCTCCCTTTCTTTGGCCTCAGTTTCTGGAAATGAAATCCGCAAGAAACAAAGTGGACATAAAGGGGAAAAGATAGAGCCGGGAAGGCCAACATTGTGGTGTCATTTTAAATGATGCGTTCAGCTCAGCTGAAGACGCGCTCTGTCTGACTGGTGCGTTTGAGTCCCTCCGAACCCTGTGTGGCTCGTTCATAATGGCCCCTCTGACATCTCCTCCTGCGCCCTCCTCCGACTCCCCCTGTGTTACAGAGCATCTACTCCAGCATTGCAGAGTCAGCTCATTAGCACCCAGCCCTCATAGCACCTCACATGCTGTCATTGGGTAGAGGGGGGAGGGCGGGAGGGGGGGGGTGAATCGACTGCTCCCCAACCAACATCCAGCAAATGAGTTGTGCTCAGACCTGCAGAGGAGGTGGGTCTGAGCAGCAAGCATCATATCACAGACAGCAGAGCTGCAGGGGCCCTAACGAAGGCATCCGTAAGAAAACAATAAGCAAATGAGAGTGAATAAATAACAGATAGTGCCGTGCAATTTCACGCATGTTGAAGAGGAATGGAAGCTTAGTAGAAAAAGGATTGATATCAGAATCCAATTAAATTCAGGGGCAGACAGCGCTTTAGTGAGAGGAAGGGGCTCCTGTGGGAGCCGTGGCCCCGTTTCTTGTTTCTTGCCGCCACGTCTTAGTGTATCCATCAGGAGCTCTGTCTCTGGACTGGCTTGAACTTCTGATTGGAGAAAACTATGAGCTTTTAATCACTCAAAGTAACGCAATGCTGAAAAGAAATGTACTCTCAGTGTTGCGAGAATAGGAGAGCGATTTAAAAGTTTGGTGAGAGCGTCTCTTTTGCTTTGAAGTTCATATAAATCTGCGCAGTTGCAATTTTGTCTTTTGTTCAGTCTGCTACATTATACGATAACACAATTTATTATGGATAAACCAAAAGCCATATTTGTTGTATTTGTAAAATAATATACAAACACATGCAAAGACGGGCCTTAAAATTGTCTGATCTGTGGTTTTCTCTCTCGGATCTGATTTGTGTAATGTATGATCAGAGACTTTTGTTAAGATAGTGCCCTGAGACTCTTGTCAAACTGAGCTCTCAAACCGCAGACAGCTCATGCTGAGCTCACAACAGTGCGTAAGCACCTCGGATTGTCTCTACCAATGTAGTGAACAAAATAGAGATGACGGTTATTAGATATCACTTATCTGCTGACTTCCAGGTCTTTGAGGCTTCGCCTCTGGTGAGTTCTGTATTTTATATTTGTCGTCGCACATGTTTGTTCTGCAAGCTGTCATGATTATTTAGCGGACATTCAAATTTCCTTCGTCATCAACGGCCCCCTGTGGTTTACTCAGACCTTTGTCAGCAGTACATCTGGTTTATGAACTGGTCTTTTTTTTTTCTTCTTTTCTTTGCACACGTGGCATTCACGGTGGTTCGGTGAATAAATCTATTTTGAAGTTGCAGTGCGTTGACCAAGATGCGTTCTGGCTGCCTATACTGCCTTGCAGAGTGGTTTGAAATAAGAGCTTTTGTGTTGTCGTGTCCGGAGACCCCGTTTCCTGAAACTGACGTTCTGCTTCAGTGTGCATTCTCTCTTTACAGGAGGACAGATACCGCCACAGCCCTCTGACTCATTATGTAGATCGCTCCTCCTCGTGTGCTGAACATCCTTTAAAAGTACCATGACACAGAGGACATGCGTGCGGCAAATCAAATGAAGCTTTGTGGACTTTTCTTTTCCTTTTAGAAACAAAACGTGGGAAATCTTAGACGTGATGAAGGCACAGACTTGTGGCGCCACCACTCCTTTCAAGTTGCTTTAAAACGTTATGCTATTAATTGAATTAGTGGCTGGCAGCAATACAATGTGTGGCTTCAGTAATCCTTAAGGCTCAGCTTTGTACTGCAGAGGCATGGTGTGTGCTTTGGTGACAACAATGTTGTTGCTTTGAAGTGACATCAGAAATTGTGAAATGTGTAATTACTGGTGCTGGGTCCTTAGTAGCGATGGAAACTAGGAGTCAGGTCTGCGCACAGAGAAGACAGGGGTAGTTCAAAGCAAAGAGTACCGGTTTGAAGGAAGCAGAGTCGACAGCATTAATGTTCCTGATGGTCACGGCCAGCCAACTTAATGACACCCCCATCCTTTTCCCCACTGTTTACCCTTCTTCTTCTTCTTCTTCTACTCCTTTTACCTGAGGCGCAGAAAACACCCTGCCCGCCTTCTCATAGCCTCTCCATGCAATTTGTTAGATTATTGGCCTTGATTTGTGTAAAAGGCACATTTCGCAATGCTTGGCTTTTGAATCTCGTCTCACCGTTCCTCGTTCCTCATTCTGTCATTAAGCTAATGGTCTGTGTCCCCTTTCTGCCAGCCCTTTTACATGTGCCTACCCCATTTTTTATTGAATACTCCAGGTCCTTAAAGCCGGGCAGTAGCAGATGCTTCTTTGGCAGCACAATTCAGCCACTGTCTCCCACGCCAGTTAGCTACTGTGGGCGAAACCACTTTGCTCAAATACTGCGGGGAAAATAACATTTTGAAAACAGTCACTGTGAGTTTTATCATTTCTTAAGGGGAGGAAGAGGAGGGGCAAGAGAGAAAGCAGAAGGACTGCAAGGTGCGATGCATCTTATTGTGATTAGAGACAAGAAGCAGTTAAAGGAATGGTATTACATTTTGGGAGATTGGCATAGGACATTTTTTACTAGGAGATGGACTTTCGTCATCCCATTGAATTTCACTTAACACAGAAAGAAGAGAAAGAAAACCAATGCAGATGTTTCTATGTCAATGTGGGATATCAAGGTAATTGAATGAGGTCATTTTTATATTTTGTCTAGACATTTTCTTAAAAATGTATTTTTTTACTGACCTTTACGCCGACCCAGAGAGCGTTAGCTTCGCGCATTTGGGCCAGAAACACCAACGGTCTCTTTACACCGGCGGCCCCACACTTTGACTGAGCACATGTGGCAAATGGCATATGTTGTGAAGCACAGACAAAAGGGCCCGCACCATATCTTCGCCTGTATTGTTCTGTGCTCAGCTTCTGGGACAGTAGTTGCAAGGATACATCAAAATGTATTTTCATACAAAATACCCCTCAAATGAATGTAGTCCTATTCAATAAAATACAAAATACTGGTGGCAGAAAATGTAACAAAATACCATTATTATAATTTTTTAACACATGGACATCTACTCTCATAACTTGGCTGCATAGCCTGAACTGTGAACTATATTATCTACCAGTGTGGATATGGCATTATGACGATAACGTTAACTTGCTAGGCACTAGCCTAGCACTAGCGTAGACAGCATGCTAGCGTCATTAGCATTGATTGCTAGCTTGCTCTAATAACCATCACCATGTATATACAATGGGCTTTGTTTCCAGACCCAGACATCAATTATACATCAACCTAGCTGTCACACTCAAATAAAATATTTACCCTGGCAGACAATCCGTTAAACTTGAAGATCTGAGACTGAACCTTTTTTGATTCCTGGAGAAAGTATTTTGAGTATTTTAAATACAAAATTACTCTGCTCTAAAGTATTTTGTTACAAATTACTTTACTTTATTATTATTTTTTTCGGCCCCTATGAATTACAAATCATAAAATTCTAAAAGGAATTGAAATACGTATTTAGAATACGAGTAATTGAAATACTGCCTATTCCTGCATGGTGGTGACGGTGTGTGAATGGACGGTAAACACAGCGACAGGAAGGCATATTTTTGCAGCGGATGGCCTGACAGATACAGGCTATGGTCGACAGAAGCTCCTCAGGTGATTGTAGTGGCGCTACACTTCTTGTCCTTGCAGGCTGTAACTCAGCTTGAAAGGTGTGACTGCGAAAACATGGCAGGAGAAAGTTGGTGATGGAGAGTAGTAGGGGTGGGAATCTCTTGGCACCTCACGATTCGATTAGACTCCGATTCAGAGGTCAACGATTCGATTCTAGACCGATTATCGATTCTAAACTGATAAAATGATTATTGATGCATCTCGATTTTCTAAATGTTCTCAAATCTGAGTTGCTACTCAGAGGTTGCTAATCACTTCCTTCTTTATTTGACAATTAAAGAAAATCAACAGATAAATTACCTTCTCTCATTTTTTATAAGAGAAAAAAAAATCTTTGTCACAAATATGATTTTCTATCATCAATGCAAGAACCAATGCAGCTTGCATTTCAACACAATATGGAAGTAGCCTATGTAAAAAAAAATTAAACAGATTCATTTTTCTTTTAAATGAATAAAAAGCTGCTCTTAGTCTCAGACCGGTCCGTATTTGTAAAATACCGGGA